ATTATTATTTTATGTTTGTTTTTTGTTAACTTGTTAACATACCATCACCCTAGAAGTACAGTGTCACCATAGTGACACTGTACTACTTGTGGGGGGTGATGAAAGTTTTTTTTTTTACACTGATTGCTGTTACACCCATAAAGGCTGTAAAATCAGTTATTTCTCATCTGGCTGCATTCTTGCAGCCATTGAGAAATACTGCGAGAACTGTGATTGGTCACAGCTTGTCACATGGTACAAGGCTGTTATGATTTTTTTTTTTTTTAAGTCCGCGAACATGCAAAAAAACGAAAAACCTGTAAGTGTTCACAAAAAACGTGCAAGTGCAAAAACACCACACAAAAAAGTGCACTTAGGGGTGTGCTTTGTCCTTCCCCCAAAGGAGATGATCCTCTACCCTGATCCCCCGGGGCACGAAGCTCCTGACAGGGACAAGGTTCCCATTTGGTCCACCTAGCCAAAAGGCCTGGCGGACCCCGTTCCTTGTGGCTGGCCAGCTGAAGCCGGCCACTCAGTACTTAGTAAGGGGGCTCTCCCGAAGAAAAAACCCCCTAGGGATCAGGGGAGGAAGGAACCAAAAGGCCACACATCCTCCCCCTAGACTTCAGGGTAGTCCCGAGGACCCACACCCTCCATCCTGTGAGGAAAAAAACACACACATAAGTTGAAAAGTGACAAAACGTGGGAGACTATAAATTAAATAAATAAAAAATAAAAAAGTGGTCGTGCCAAATTGTGCACAGACCAGGCCCTGAGGCCTGTAGCAAAAATTGCCCCGAACTTAGCCAAAAGGCCTGGTCCTGAGGGTGCTGTGCACCCAGAAAAAGTGGTAAACACAGTGACCATGTGCCTTTTCACACTGTGGGGTCCCACACCCAGGTGTTACTAAGAGCACCCCTGAGGCGACCACTCAGGGGGCACTGGTTTGCGGACTTTCTGCCTTCCCGGCCCCTGGCCAGACCGAGGTAGATCCGCTCAAATCAGGAGGTACTGGGCCCCTCTGACATTCCAAAGGGGAATTACTCCCGGACCCCAACTCCAATGGGCTCCCGGTTTCTGTTCCCCCCGTAATAACCATCAGGGCAACCATCATACCAGCAGGGGTACTATACAACCAAACACCCCCACAAAGCTAGAATGACCGTGGAGCACCCCTGCTGGACACTGATAAGAACAGATACTAGACTTGATCTTAGCCAAAAGACCGAGAAGCGATCATAACAAGGCTGTTATGAATAGTTTACTGTAAACTCAACAGTCAATAGTAGACTGTAAACTCAACTGCCTGTAAAATGAACGATGTGTACATGGACTCATAGGAGAACATTAGGGAGAGTTCAGGGGCTGCTGAAAAAAAAACGCAGAAAAGCTCCCAAATGTGAGTTTATCAGCTGCAGTGTACATGGAGTGTTGGTTAATGTAGGCAGTTGCTGTTGTAAAATGCTGATGTTGCATTCAAGGACAGAGCTGCTCAGACACAAGAATTGTTTGTCAAGTGTTGCTTGCAACGAACAGCATCTCAATAGGACCTGCTGTGTCTAAATAAATACAATGCTAAGAAGGTCAAACACAGCTTCAGAACTGACTTCACCACTGCACCATAGAAGTAAATGAGAACCTGCTGACTTGCATTTGTCAAACACAGGAAAACAACGCCGATCTACAAATACAGAATATTTAAAGACAAATGTGTCATCATATATGTTAGACATATTATAGTAATTTAACCCTTTGCTCTTCAGAGGATTTACCCCCCCCCTTCCTGACCAGGCCATTTTTTGTGATACGGCGCTGCATTACTTTAACTGACAATTGTGCGGTCATGCAACCCTGCACCCAAATGAAATTTATGTTACATAGTTAGGCTCCATGCACACTTCAGATGATAAACTGACGTTTAGGAGCTGTTCCGCGCTTTTTTCAGCAGCTTCTGAACTCTCCCTAATGTTTTCCTATGTGTCCATGTACACATCTTCATTTACAGGCAGTTGAGTTTACAGTCGTTTTTTTAACGCACCAAACTTGTATCCAGGAGTAGATTTTATCAGCGTTTCAAACGCCAAATGCTTGTGGAAAAATTTTTTAACTCTTCCATTTCCAGTTGCTATCCAGAGCCTTTTTTCATCATGAAAAATTCGTGCAAAGTGTTTTTCTCGGTACTCAAATGGACCCGGTACACCATACTTTGAGGTTTCACATATGTTAGACACTGCTGCAATAATTTCTGCACAGAAATGAGCTGGAACACATCCAAACACCACAAAAAAAAAAAAAAAAGACAGGTCATCTCAACACATACTGCTCTCTCTGCTTCTGCTCTCTCTATTTTCTCTCAAAATGTCTGAAATAGTTAATTTTTTACTATTTTTCAGTGCATTCTGGGCATTTAGGAAGGTCTCCTGAGGTTATCTTTAAAAAAACGCTTCTAAATGCAAACACACATAAACACGCATAAACGCACGCACCCGGCGATCTCTATGATCGCTGTGTCCTATGGACACAGCTGATCACGTGATGTGGTAAAAGGCCAATCACAGTGCCTTTTACCATGTGATCAACCGTGTCCCATGACACAGCAGATCAACGGTAAATGCAGTTGCCGGTTATTGGTTACCCACCAAACTGAGCATGTGTACTTTAGGCTTAGTTAGGTTTTGACTTGTCTTCCACTTTGAGCCCTGGTTCTCAATCGAATTCAAATTCCGCACCGCATCAGAATCGTACCCCTTTCATGCGAACCACTGCGGGGGTGTATGATAAGTTAACATCACCCTGAAAGTGGACTGCAAAACGCGGTGCGATGTGCAGAATCGGATCGCATAGATGTGAATGCCCATGCGATCCGATTCTAGTGCGGACCAAAAAAAGGGTCCTGCACTTTTTTGGTGCGGGTGCGGTGCGATTAGAGCCATACAAAATGTATGGCTCCAATTGCACCGCACAGAAATCGCATGTGATTGGCTCAGGAATGCGGTGCGGTTACTGTGCTAATCACGTGAGATACCGTACCGCATATATGTGTGAACCCGGGCTAATAGTCTTATAGAACATAGATATGCATATGGAGGTAGATTTTCTTTTCTTTGATAAGAGTCCTTATAACAGATTTGATGACAAATGTAGACCCTTTAGTTCTTTCACAGAATGATTGTGGAATTGTTGAATAGAGGGAAGAAAAGAGAAAGCGATATGAAACAGAGAGAAAAAAACTAGAAGGGAGGGGATGGTAAAACATAAAGGGAAAGATTTACTAAAGCTGGAGCACTCCGAATCTGGTGCAGCTGTGCATGGGAGCCAATCACTTTCTAACGTCAGCTTCTTCAATTAAGATTTGACAATAAAAGCTGGAAGCTGATTGGTTTCTATGCAGAGCTGCACCAGATTTTGCACTCCCCAGATTTAGTAAATAACCACCAAAGTGACTATTGCTGATTGGAATATTAAACCCTTCAAGCCAACATCACACAAATATACAGCTTCACAGAACTGGGCCTTTTTCTGTGGGGCCGCATATTTGCATACCTGCCTTTGTGCTGGAAGCGAAACGCACGGCGCGCTCCCAGCACAAAGACCAGTGTGTCAGTGAGAGCCCCGAGTCCCATTCTAGCGATCGGGACCCAGGACTCCTGATTCTGGGTCACATGATCGCTAAGATAGCCTCTGATTGGCTAACACAGTGATCAGTCCAGCTTTTTTTTTTCTCTGAATGGAAGAGAGAGATACATTGTATATTTCTCTCTCTCCTTGCATAGAGAAAAACAACTGTTTGTAACAAATGCAGTTCATGCAGTTCATTCAGTTCATGCAGTTCATTCTGTGACCGGTTTTCAGGCAACAACAGGCTGAATCCCATTGTCGACCAGGGGAGGACTGACCATTTGGAAACTCGGGCACTGCCGAGGGCCCAGGGTAAGTAGGGGGCCTCAGGAAATGCCCCTGGTACTTTTTTCATAGGCTTTTTTGAGTTTTTGGTAAGGGCACTGGGGCCCCTATGATCCCCTATTGCCGGGGGCCCCATGAGTTTTCATTCCGCCCCTGCTGTCGACCGAAATCACAGAGCCAGTCCAGGCTCTGAAAAGATCCCAACCATAAGGTTGGGATCCACCCAGAAGCCTGGACTGACAGCCTTTCTGGTGCCGTGCTGGGAGACTGAGCCAACCACTCCCTTCCCAGCCCAGCGCTATAAGTAAGGGGCAGAGCAGAGAGCTGCTGACTGACATTCTGAGAACTGAGTGATCAGCCATCTTTGATTGCTCAGTTCTCAGTCTTAGAGCTGGCGGGGGACCAATGCTGCATCCACATAGGCGAGTATCATGGTGTTTTTGTTTTTTCATGTTTTTTTTTTTTTTTAAACCCATACTTCTCTTTTAAAGTGTACATATGGCCAAAACTTGTTTTACATTCTACATATAATCCCTGTCAAGTTTGAATTGCTGTCTGTGCCCCTGCTGGGGAGATTCGCCCTTTGTATTTGTTTTTGGTAATAGAAATTTCAAAAATGTTTCAGTTATCACCAGAAAAGGAGGTGAATGGAAATCTTCGAATTGGGGCAACTTTCTAAAAGACAGATAGACATTCCTGTTGCTGGAAATAAATTGAAATCTCTCCAAAACAGATAGCTGAAAAACTGTTGGATTTTCACCATTCCCTTAATGCTATACAGACACTTAAAATATCTATGCTACATCTATCCCTCTTAGGCCAAAATATCAAGGGGACCAGATTTTAAGGATTTTGTTTCGGTGTGTTCCAGGATAGCCATCCATTTCTTATAAAGGATTGTGTCAGGAATGCTTTGCTTTACTTCTGAGAAGCATAGAGATGGTTCTTTCCAGGACTTTGCAATCATATGACTTGTGGTTATACAGATACATGTGATGAGTCTGTGTTTGTTCGGTGAGGATGCTTCCTCATTTACCCCCGGTTCACATATACGCAGCCGTGGGGGCCACATTTTATGCGGGCACGAGAGCCCATTCATTTGAGCCCTGGTTCACATATATGCGGCCATGCGGGCCACATTTTGCGCAGGCACGAGAGCCCATTCATTTAAATGGACTATCGTGCCCTGTGACACGCAGGGAAGAAGTCCGTGCACTTCTTTGGAAAATTCAACCCGCACGGGAACCTCAGTTCCCAGTATAGTTGCGTTTTCCAGTGCGGGTGGCGTGCCATTAGAACTAATGGCACCCGCCCATGGATCCGCATTCCTCTGTGCGGGTGGTGCGGCTGCACGGATTTTCGTGCGGATCCGCAGTGGCACCACCCACACAGATGTGAATCAAGCCTGAATGGACTCCTGTGACACACAGGGAAGAAGTCCCTGCACTTCTTTGGAAAATTCAACCCGCATGGGAACCTCGGTTCCCAGTATAGTTGCGTTTTCCAGTGCGGGTGGCGTGCCATTAGAACTAATGGCACCCGCCCGTGGATCCGCATTCGTCTGTGCGGGTGGTGCGGCTGCACGGATTTTCGTGCGGATCCGCAGCGGCACCACCCGCACAGATGGGAACCTAGCCTTAAAGTTGACATAACAAGGAAAAGTGAAGATTTCTTTTCTTATTGGAAACATCTAGTAATGGTAATTGTACCAAGGCAGTACTGTGAAATATCTGCCTTTTGTCTTCAATTCTTCCTTAACATCAGAGGTGCACGTTCCATGGTCTAGGCACTCTTGCTCTGCTAATCAAAAGCTGTATATCAGCAGCGTGAGATCGTCTAAGGCAGTGGTTCCCAACCTCAAACCTCAAGTATCCTTCACAAGTTCTAGTTTCATGATTTTCTTCAACTTTCATGGGTTCTTTAAATCAGTGGTATTTATGTCTGCTTTTTCAGCCACTTTGTGCCGGTGCCTCTCGGCCCTTTAAGGGGTTTCAGATGCCAGGGGTGGGGCGGGGATTTAGGGTCATGTGACCGCCGTGATTTGCTGTCATGGCGGTCACATGATCAGAAAAGGTCCCAATCGCAAGGGGAGATCAGGACCTTTCAGTGAGACACCGACATATGTGCTGGGAGCGCGCAGGGCGCGCGCTCTCAGCACATATGTATTTTCAAATGGTACGCAAAATATGCAGCCACTCGACGTCAAGGCCCAGCTGCCGAGAGGCCGCATATTTGCGTATGCTCGGTATCAAGGGGTTACTCTAAGAAAATACCCAAAACATAACTTGTACTCCATTTTAAGGACTGAGGTTGGGAACTATTGATCTATACTGTATATGCCACAGAGATGTAGGCAGTGTCTGCAGGGGACTAACACCGCACCCATGATCCAATGATTGCAGGTGCAATTATCTGCAGGCTCCTGTGAAAAAAATGTATACATGAAAATGTTTTTAAAAAGTGCATTTATTATTTTTTTTTAATAAACATGATGTTTGCATTTAATGACTAAAATAAAAATTAATTAAAAATATGATTGTAAATTTTAATTAAAATGTGATTAATAAATAATGTTTATGTATTTATTATTTTATTACACAGTATATGAATTATTTCATTGAATACATTCTGTATAAAATTATGATTTGACTCTTTACTGAGGAGTTCATTGACCCTTTGTCCTGTATGAGATAACGATGTGCTATTGCTACACATGGACTTGAGTTATTTCATGAGGCTAGATCGTATTTCTTCGCTATTCTTTTCTTGTGGTATATGTATCTATTCTGTGACAAGTTTCGATTATTTGCTTTAGCTGGTCTAGGTTTACCACTGACATTAGCCATGCCTAGCTTGTCCTATGATTTACATCTACCTGTTATGATGTCGCAGTGGAAAGCCTTGGTTTGCTTGTTATTTTTGATCAAAAGAAAAAAAATAATAAAGGAACGCTTTGAAAACACATCAGATCTCAATGGGGAAAAATCTACTGCTGGACATCTATACTGCTATGGATGGGGTAATGTGTTAGGAATGTAAGGATGCCCCATCGTTTGATGGAAATGAAAATGATCGACCTACAGAGGACTGAATTCAAAGACAAAAATCAAAGTGAAAAAATGATGCAGCAGGCGACTCCATTTTGCTGAAATTTTATTGCAGAAACTCAGAATGGTCCTCAGTAGTTTGTATGGCCCCCACGCGCTTGTATGCATGCCTGACAACGTTGGGGGATGCTCGTAATGAGACGATGGATGGTGTCCTGGGGGATTTCCTCCCAGATCTGGACCAGGAAATCACTGAACTCCTGGACAGTCTGAGGTGCAACCTGGCGGCGTCGGATGGACCAAAACATGATATCCCAGAGGTGTTCTATTGGATTTAGGTTAGGTGAGCGTGGGGGCCATTCAATGGTATCAATTCCTTCATCCTCCAGGAACTGCCTGCATACTCTCCCCACAGGAGGCTGGGCATAGTCGTGCACCAGGAGGAACCCAGGACCCACTGCACCAGCATAGGGTCTGACAATGGGTCCAAGGATTTCATCCCGATACCTAATGGAAGTCAGGGTGCCATTGTCTAGCCCGTAGAGGTCTGTGCTTCCCTCCATGGATATGCCTCCCCAGACTATCACTGACCCACCACCAAAACAGTCATGCTGAACAATGTTACAGGCAGCAGAACGTTCTCCACGGCTTCTCCAGACCCTTTCCCGTCTGCCACATGTGCTCAGGGTGAACCTGCTCTCATCTGTGAAATGCACAGGGCGCCAGTGGTGGACCTGTCAATTCTGGTGTTCAATGGCAAATGCCAATCGAGCTCTATGGTGCCTGGGCAGTGAGCACAGGGCCCACTAGAGGACATCGGGCCCTCAGTCCACCCTCATAAAGTCTGTTTCTGATTGTTTGGTCAGAAACATTCACGCCAGTAGCCTGCTGGAGGTCATTTTGTAGGGCTCTGGCAGTGCTCATCCTGTTCCTCCTTACACAAAGAAGCAGATAACGGTCCTGCTGATGGTTTAAGGACCTTCTACGGCCCTGTCCAGCTCTCCTAGAGTACCTGCCTGTCTCCTGGAATCTCCTCCATGCTCTTGAGACTGTGCTGGGAGACACAGCAAACCTTCAGGCAATGGCATGTATTGATGTGCCATCCTGGAGGAGTTGGACTGCCTGTGCAACCTCTGCAGGGTCCAGGTATCGCCTCATGCTACCAGTAGTGACACTGACCTTAGCCAAATGCAAAACTAGTGAAAGCAGTTAGAAAAATGAGTAGGGAAAAAATGTTAGTGGCCTCCACCTGTAAAACCATTCATGTTTTGGGGGTCGTCTCATTGTTGCCCATCTAGTGCACCTGATGTTAATTTAATTAACACCAAAGCATCAGAAACTGATTGACAACCTCCTCTGCTGCTTAACTGACCAGATCAATATCCCAGGAGTTTCACTGACTTGATGCTATACTCTGATTAAAAAGTGTTCCTTTAATTTTTTTGAGAAGTGTGTATATGTTAAAGTGAAACAGAGAATAAATATTTATATATTTACTTTTTTGATTGTATGATCCTCTGCACTATCTGTGTTGATGCTGAGCTCCCATGTTCACACCCCCTGGAACACTGCAGGTAACAGGTGTTTCAGGAAATTATCAATGGGTCAACACTTTCGAGGGATTGCAATGCAATACGGTGGTGTTATGATGACGGGGGCACGGCACCTGTATGAATAGACTGGTGGCACACTGAACATGCCATCCATGGAGGACAAAACTAAATGTGCCAATGACATCATTGCAGCACACATTGGGCAAAATCTCCTAAAACGGCGCAGGTTGGGACACTATTAAAGACACCTACAGGTAAGTCATTTCAAAAAGCTTTGCATGGTGCAAAGAAGGGCAGGAGGGTTTACTACCACTTTAGGAGATACAGACAGGTTTGTAGTTCATATCGGGTGAGCAGCCTGGGTTGACAACCATGGCCCCCACCATAGATACAGCGGACAAGTGACATAGTCATCCAAGGACAGGAAGTGTGTTATTTGCAGAATAATTAGGAAAAGGAATGCAACCACAGCACCAAGGACTAGTAAACTATGTTATATTACTGTTGGGGTTTGGATACACTTTAAAGTGTCACTAAACCCAGGACCTTGCATTCACTATATCTGGTCTCCCCAGGACCCTGCATTCACTATATCTGGTCTCCCAAGACCCTGCATTCACTATATCTGGTCTCCCAAGACCCTGCATTCACTATATCTGGTCTCCCAGGACCCTGCATTCACTATATCTGGTCTCCCAGGACCCTGCATTCACTATATCTGGTCTCCATGGACCCTGCATACACTACATCTGGTCTCCCAGAACCCTGCATTCACTATATCTGGTCTCCCAGGACCCTGAATTCACTACATCTGGTCTCCCCGGCCCCTGCATTCATTATATCCGCTCTCCCCGGACCCTGCATTCACTATATCCGATCTCCCCGGACCCTGCATTCACTATATCCGGTCTCCCAGGACCCTGCATTCACTATATCCGGTCTCCCCGGACCCTGAATTATCCGGTCTCCCCACCCTATCACTATATCCAATCTCCCCGGACCCTGCATTCACTATATCCAATCTCCCAGGACCCTGCATTCACTATATCCGATCTCCCAGGACCCTGCATTCACTATATCCGGTCTCCCCAGACCCTGCATTCACTATATCCGGTCTCCCCGGACCCTGCATTCACTATATCCGGTCTCCCTGGACCCTGCATTCACTATATCCGGTCTCCCCGGACCCTGCATTCACTATATCGGTCTCCCCGGACCCTGCATTCACTATATCTGGTCTCCCACAGTATACATTACATTGAAATGCAATTATTTTAGTAAATATAAACTGATAAATACCTTTTTTTCATCAGCAGTATATAGCAGTCTTGTGATTTTTACCAGTATCGACTGGTTAAAGCTTGTAGCCCCTTAGGCTCCACAGTGAGTATAACAAGCATGCTTTACTGCATATACAGACTGATTGTACTGTTGTGGGTTTAGTAACACTTTAAACCAGGGGTGTCAAACTGCAGCCCTCTAGCTGTTGCACAATTACAAGTCCCATCATGCCTCTGCCTTTGGGAGTCATGCTTGTAACTGTCAGCCTTGCAATGCCTCATGGGACTTGTAGTTCTGCAACAACTGGAGAGGCTGCAATTGGACACCCCTGGTTTAAACGCAAAGTAAAAAACAAAAAACTCAACTCTGCTCTCCGACATCTCGCAGTAACACCATGTAATCAGACTCTTAGAACGCTTGCTGCTTATTTTATAATGGAGGGTGGTGATTATAAATACCAGTGATAAACAAGATCATTTGTTTTTGTGAAACATGATGTCAGGATTATAAACTTTCTGAAAAAGAAAATATCTGCAGAAAAGTAGAAGGTTTATCTGAATCCCCGACATACTTCTCTGTGTTTTTTGGTATATAAATTAGAGGGTGGTGATGTTTTCTAAATGATAAATACCGAGATAAAATTAAAAGATCATTTGTTTTTGTTTTTTTACTGAATGCAGAATTGTGCAAGTGAACTCCAGTTTTATTTTAACCATTTGCCTACCGGGCACTTATACCCCCTTCGTGCCCAGGCCAATTTTCAGCTTTCAGCGCTGTCGCACTTTGAGTGACAATTGCGCAGTCATGCAACACTGTACCCATATGAAATTTTTATCATTTTTATCACACAAATAGAGCTTTCTTTTGTTGGTATTTAATCACCACTGGGTGTTTTTTTATTTGTTGTGCTATAAACAAAAAAGAGCAAAAATTAAAAAAAAAAAAAACATTTTTTTTCTTTGTTTCTATTATAAAATTTTGCAAACAGGTAATTTTTCTCCTTCACTGATGTGCGTTGATGAGACTGCACTGATAGGTAGCACTAACGGACACTGATATGCAACAATGACTGGTGGCACTGCTGGGCACTTGCGGGGGGCACTGATGGGCACAGATCATCCGTCCTCTGACAATTGGTGGTTATCTGCAGTACTTTCCTCATGCTGTGATAGCGTGAAGAAAGTGCAGCTGATAACAGGCAACTGCATTTACTGGTGATCTGCTGTGTCATCGGACATGGCTGATCACATGGTAAAAGGCCACTGTGATTGGCCTTTTACCACAACACGTGATCAGCTGTGTCCGTAGGACACAGCAATCACGGAGATCGCGGGGGCACGCAGGACGACGCGTTCTGGGGGGACGTCGTATGACGCCCTCCTAGAACTGGCCAGCCACAGTGAAGCCGTCATTCGGCTATCTGTGGTCAGCAAGTGGTTAAAGTCCAACTATACTTTTTAGTTTAAAGAGACCCTGTCACCACACTATTCATTTCATTTAAAATATTCCCACAAGATATGTGTATTTAACATATTTTATGCATGTTATTTACCTGTAAACGTCTCACTCGTGAAGACATCTAAAAGTCTTGTGACTGCTGCTGGACACCACCATCCTGGGTGTGATGTTAGCAGACTCAGAACCATCACTTAAGTATCTCTCTATGGCAGTAGTTATCAACCACTTGGCCATGGCTCACTGCCGGACTGCAGCCTCCCTCCAGCCACCTGTAGATTGCTTAACCACATACAGTTCCCCCCGGCTCCCATAGTGCCCTCCAACCTTCCACAGTGGTCATTAGTGCCCCTATGAAAATTCTCAGCCCCCCCAGCCTACTGTAGAGCCTACAACTGTGTCCTAAAGTGCCCCAAGGCCCCTTTAGAAATCTCATCCCCTACAAGGCCATCAAGTCTGCAGACTCAGAGCCATCATTCAAGTAACAATCTCTAGCAGTGGTTATCAACCATGGGCTGTGGCCCACTCCTAGCCTACAGTCTCTCTCCAGCCACCTGTATATCGCTTAAACTCCCAGTTCTCATTGTGCCCCCCAACCTTCCATAGCCGCTGTCAGGACCCCTTAGGAGCCCTCAGCCTCTAGTATCCACTAGCCTACTGCAGAGCCTCCAACCTTCAACAGTGTCCCATAATGCCCCCTAGTCCCCTTTAGAAACCTCAACCCCTACAAGGCCACCAAGTGTGTCACTTGAGTAATGGCTCTGAGTCTGCAATCTATAGCAGTGGTTATCAACCATAGGCCGTGGCCCACAGCCTCTCTCCATCCACCTGTAGATCGCTTAACCCCACAGTTCCCATTGTGCCCCCTAACTTTCCATAGTGGCCGTCAGTGCCCTGTAAGAGCTCTGAGCCTCCAGTGTCCCCCAGCCTACTGCAGAGGCTCCAATCTCAAAGTGTCCCACAGTGCCTCCCAGCCCCCTTTAGAAACCTCATCCCCTACAAGGCCACCAAGTCTGAAGACTCAGAGCCATCACGTAAGTGACAATGTATAGCAGTGGTTATCAACCAGGGGCTGTGGCCTACAGCCTCTCTCCAGCGACCTGTAGATCACTTAACCTCCCAGTTCCCATTGTGCCCCCCTACCTTCTATAGTGGTCATCTGTAACAGTGTCCCGCAGTCTACTGCAGAGCCTCCAACCACCAACAGTGTCAAACAGTGCCTCCCAGCCCCCTTTATAGAAACCTCATCCCCTACAAGGCTACCAAGTCTGTAGACTCAGAGCTGTCACGTAAGTGACAATGTATAGCATTGGTTATCAACCATGGGCTGTGGCCCACAGCCTCTCTCCAGCCACTCGTAGATCACTTAACTCCCAGTTCCCATTGTGCCCTCCAACCTTCTATAATGGTCATCTGTAACAGTGTTCCCCAGCCTACTGCAGTCTCCAGCCTCCAACAGTGTCCCCAGCCCCCGTTAAATCCTCATTCCCTACAAGGCCACCAAGCCTGATGCACGGACCCCGAATCTATTCCACAACCCTTATTCCTCCACAGCAACACCCAGCCCCACCCAGTATTTCAATACATGCTTTGCATTCCCATGCTTTTATTGTGTACATATAAACTTAATTTATTGCTGTTGGGACATGGAAGGTTTTAGAAGAATTTACTAGGCACTGGTCTCAAAAAGGTGAGTACTGCTATATAGTATTACCCTTTATTCCTCCCCTGCAAGCTATATAAAAGGTTATGTAGGCAGGTGAGGAGCTGGGCCAGCACAGATCATTTGAGATTTCCAGAGGGGGAGATGGCTTGACGTGCAAGGAGGAAAGGAACTGTGCTAAGGGTTTGATTCAAATTTGCTATCAAGTTTAAAGGCATATGGCAAGTCTATCAAATCATTTATGTGAAGGTAAAAAGGGCTGCAAGCAAACAAAATATAGAATTGTCTGTTTGTTTACCTGTAGTCTTTTTAGGCCAGTGACAGAGTCTCTTTAAGGCTTCATTCATACAGGTGGCTGCTGGGGAGAATTGGCTTTTTCTGTTGGCAGAGCGAACAGGATTTTTGTACTTACCGTAAAATCCTTTTCTCTGAGTGAATTGTAGGAATCCATCCATTATGAAGTATGGCTGTGTCCTTCATTGAATGACAAAGAAAATAGCTACATGCACACAGTGCCACTGCTGTTCACATGTAAGCATCTGAACAGTCAAATGCAATTAACCACTTCAGCTCCGGAAGATTTTACCCCCTTCATGACCAGGCCATTTTTTGCTATTTGACACTGAGATCATTTAGCTGGCAATTGCGCAGTCATGCAACGCTGTGTACAAATTACATTTATATAATTTTTTTCACACAAATAGAGCTTTCTTTTGGTGGCATTTGATACTAGTTTTTTTTATTTTATTCTTGAAAAAATACTGAAAACAGAATTTTTAAATTTTTTTATTAAAACATATCTAATAAAAAAAAAATATAATTTCTTCATAAATTTAGGCCAAAATGTATTCTGCTATGTGTCTTTGGTAAAAAAAAAAAGTCACAATCAGTGTATATTATTTAGTTTGTAGGAAAGTTATAGCATCCAGATATAGCGTGGAAAGTAGACAGTATTTGTAAACTGCTGGCGCTATATAAATCCTGTATAATAATAATAATAATGAGGTATTTATTAGAGGCGTGGCATGTTTTTTGAAGTTGTAATTTTTTGACATGATAGTTCAGAACACTAGTGATCTATGATGGGCTACAGCTAATCACATGGTACAAGGTGCTGTGATTGGCCAATGTATCATATGATAGCTGTGGGCCAATCACAGTTTAGTAGTACCAGAAGCAAAGCTGTTATGAATGACATTATGATCATTATGTCCGCAGTGGAACTGCTGTGGGCGGTCGGCAGGTGGTTATGGATACTGGCCAGCATTTAGCGGCCTCTGAATGCATCAGCCTAGCCTTTCACTGTGAATAAAGCCCAAATCAGCTAAATATATTCTAGAAGCATCAAAACTAAAGGTGCGCAGTGTCTTAGGTCCCTTTCACATAATCGTTCCAATCAGGTCCGCCTGTCAGTTTTTCAGGCGGACCTGATTGGATGGTCCATGTATTCCTATGGACCATCGGGTGTAAACAGACTTGTGTTCGTTTACACCTGCCTATCTCCAATCCGATATGGTCCACTAAAACAAAAATGGAAGGGGATCCATCCCCCCTACATATAGGCTGACCGGATCAGAGGGCAGTCGGGTGTAAATTGACAGCCGGTCCATTTACAGCCAACCGCCCCTGGAGCAGACAGATCCCTTACTGAGCAAATCTAATTCGGCCCTGCGTGACAGGAGCCTTACAGGTCGTTTTCTTTAGAAAGCGGTCACAGCCTGAATAGAAAAAAGTCTAGACCCTGCCAGCATGCTGTAGAGCACAGGTGTCAAACACAAGGTATGTGGGCTGAATCCAGCCCTCCAGGCCATTTCATATGGCCCTTCCACCTCTCCTGCAGGTACCCCCTTGTCTCTGCCCCCACCTTGTCTCAGCAGTGAGGAAAATAGAACTCCTCTGCCAAATCCTGCACCTGCCACACCCCCTCATCTCTGCCTCCCCTGGTCTCAGCATTCAGCAGACTCTGGTAACTGACTCCACTCCTCCTATGGTCCTCCTGCAGACCCTGCACTTTCTGCTTTCCAGCTCTGCCCCCAAAGAGGGTGCACGGTGTTGTTAGGGAGGGTGTGAGATTCTTGACATCTGATGTAATAGGGGTGGGGTGCTCTGGACATCTATGAGGGCAATCATAATGCCGATACAGCCCGTGATGAATAGGGGTTTGACACTCCTGCTGTAGAGAATAAAGCCTTGCTCCCTATGTGGAACCAGTAGTCCTTCTGCAGAGGTCTGTCAACCATCTTGCAAAAAAAAAAAAAAAAAAGTTTGTGTCAAAGGTGGGGAATGTATTATATTATGCAAAGTGGGTGAAGATCCTTTTCCAGTTCATCTATATTAGCACTGGTCACAGCCCAAAAGTAGTCAATTCTGTGTGCGCCTTGTATACATGTCTGTCACAAGCAGTTGGCATTACTAAGGCACTTATAAGGTTGCTGCATATAATCCCCATGAGTGGCCACCAAAATGTGGACCCCAGGGTGTCACTGATAGCTGGGCTGCTGATTAGGAGTCTAGCTGACACTGGACATTGTCGGGACTGGACTCCAGCCTCACTTTTCCTAAACGAATGAGAGTCAGTGATGTCCTCTAAGTACTTTAATGTGAGTGATTCTCTTCTGAAGCCTTTTAGCAGTTTGCAAATTTGCTGCTGAAGCTTGACGTTCGCCTATCGCCGCTGCCGTTATGATAAAACACCAGTGGGAGCGTGAAATGCGTCAACCTCTTCATGTAACACACAACCTGTTCCTTCTTTCCCCCACTGTTTTTGCAGGAAACAATAAAAAAGTGGATCAAGGTGTGTACCCATCCGGAATATTTATTTTATATCATCGTGTACAGTTGAGGTTGGCATCCTTGAGAAGTCAAGCCGTGTGTGAAATTGAATAGGAGTACAGCTACCTGAAGCAGTGTTTCCCATGCAAAACACTTACAGGACACCCCGACTCATTCGTTTAGGAAAATGTAAGCCCGGAGTTCTACTTTAAATATAAAAAGAAACTACAGACAGTTCTGGATTCCTAAATATCCCTACTTGTAACCCAACTCAAGATAAAAGATTGGCATGAAATTGTTCATTACTCTGCAATACCCTGAACCAGGATATACAAATCAGATCAACAAGCAAGTTTCTTTTAAATGACAAAAATATATATATTTACATATAGAACTTTTTCTGTACATTATTGAAGATGGGGTTCCTTTACAAGGGATCAGCAACATTTTCGTCACTGTGCTGTGCTTGGTTTTTCCTCTTCACTTGCCTTCGGGAAGCCTTGAAATGAGTTGGGCTGGGCTGGGGGAAAGGGATAGGGGTCGGCTTGTTGTGGGGTAGTCCTGGGGTTGGGGTAAAGGGAAGGCCAGCAGGAGAAGTAGTGGGACTGCTGACTGATGAGTAGCCTGAACTATTGTCTGTGCCGATTATCACAGGATGAAATGAGAGGTCTGGTTTTGGAGGTAGCAGCGGAAGGTTTGTTGCGTCCTCATCACTGGAGTCCTGGCAGTGATGTTCTTCTGGGTTGATCAGGGAGATGTCTAGGATACCGCTGGGACAAGTGACTATAAGAACACAGATAACAAAAATAATTTGTAAAACGCAATCTGGCAGATATTTTGGCATTTTTTTTTTTTAAATAAAACTTTTACATCATTATGATCCTATGCTAGATTGCAATAATAACCCAATAAAATGGAATATTGTAATATTTATGGTCTATAAGTGACCACCTTGAAATATTTATCCAAATGTCACTATATCGCGCCTGATGCAAAAAAGATATTTAGCCTCTCTAAATAAAAAATATATATTGCTGCCACTATAACCTATTTCAAAAATCCAAAAATATATAAGTATCACCCCTATTTTAGTGAATACAAGCGGCGCATATACTTCATAATGCTATCGTCAAACATCAATTACCACTCATATACTATGTATCATTCTTTGTCGTCACCATTATTTCAGATTTTGCCTTTGTTAACCAATTCAATACCGGGCAATTTTACACCTTCCTGCCCAGGCCATTTTTCAGGTTTCAGCGCTCTCACACTTTGAATGACAATTGCGCGGTCATACAACATTGTACCCAAACTAAAATGTTATCATTTTCTTCACACAACTAGAGCTTTCTTTTGGTGGTATTTAATCACTGCTGGGTTTTTATTTTTTGATAAATTAACAAAAAAAGACCAAAACTTTTGAAAAAAAAACCCCACGTTTTTCTTTGTTTCTGTTATAAAAGTTTACAAATAAATAATTGTTCTTCATAAATTTAGGCCGAGATGTATTCTGCTACATGTCTTTGGTGAAAATAACCCAAATTAGGATGTATTATTTAGTTTGTAGGAAAGTTATAGAGTTCACAAACTATGGTATAGATCTGAATATTGATCAATCCTGAAGTACTGACAGCCAATCTCATTTCTTGAGGTCCAAGAATGTCAGAACAGTACAGATATCCCCCAAATGACCCCTTTTTGTAAAGTAGACAGTCCGACGTACCTCATAAGAGGCATGGCGAGTTTTTTGAAGTTGTATTTTTTTTGTCATAATTTTTCGGAAAATGAAAAAAATTAAAATTATTATTTTCACTATTTATTTTTTACATACTGTCACCAGTGCAGTACAGCGTCATCATATAACTGGCATGGTGGTGAACAGGGACACTGACTGGTGACAGTATGAAAAAAAAAATATATATATTTTTTTTTAAGATTTTTTTTCATATTTTACTATGACCATAGTACAATGTTACCATAGTAACATTGTACTACTTTGGGGAAGTGATCAGTATTTTTTTTTTTTACACAATTTGCTTATAGCAAAGAATTACTTTGCCATAAGCAAGCATTTACCTGAATTAAATCGATTCATTCAGGTTTTTTTTTTTTTTTTTGTGCTTAGCTGTGATTTGGCCACAGCTAATCACATGACATGAAGCCATCCATTGTATACAACGGTCATGTGACCTGCTGTGATTGGTCACAGCAGGTCACATGGTACCGGCAACAGGGGCCGGTACTCAGATCTGTCATTGACCGTGTCTGAGGTATACGGCCGCTGACAAATCGCGCCGTGCTCTGCAACCGCGCGAACTGCGCATGTGCGGGAGGACGCCAAATGGCGTACACCCCGGAAAGGAAATGCATTTTTGTGGCCACCAAACGGCTATAGGCCGGGCGGCAAATGGTTAAAGCATAATCAAGAGGATATCCATTAATTAGACCAGGATTGTCCTGTCTCGCCCTTCTAAGCATTGAAAGTGTGATACAATCTTAGTTGTAGTAGTAATACCACAGTCAGTGACTCAATCGGATGACACCTTGTAGATCTTGTGAAGTTTATTCCATAAACTGAGAATCTTACAACAATGAACATCGGATAGGTCAAAAGATCATAATGTGATCTGCTTCATGACATGAGGCTAGAAGCTGAAATGCCTTACTGGGAAAAGGGGTGGGCTATCTATACAGCATTACTAAACCAAAGGAAAGGGAGGAGTAGAGACAAATTAGAACACTTAAAGGCATATGACAATCATGTGAAACACAACAAGGAGGTTCCTCCAAGAATAGCCCACTCAATGATTGGTTGCCAGGATAATTCAAAAACTCCACTCCACCATATCATGAAAAGAGAAGAAAAATATCCGCTCCAATAGTATGTTACCCAAGATAAATGGCTTTATTTGCTCCAAGTAATGCACTTACAAAATTAAAAACATCATCAACAACCCAAATGATATGTCTTTGTGACAAGCAGATACCGCATGGTGCTCTCACCACCTCCGGAACGGCCGGATATGTCACAAAGACATATAATTTGGGCTTGTTGATGTTTTTAATTTTGTAATTGCATTACTTGGAGCAAAAAAGCCATTTATCTTGGTTAATATACTATTGGAGCGGATATTTTTCTTCTCTTTTCATGATATGGTGGAGTGGAGTTTTTGAATTATCCTGGCAACCAATCACTGAGTGGGCTATTCTTGGAGGAACCTCCTGGTCTAATTAATGGATATCCTCTTGATTATGCTTTAACAAAGGCAATATGTGAAATAATGGTGAAGACAAAGAATGATACATAGTATATGAGTGATAATTGATGTTTGATGAAAGCATTATGAAGTGTATGCGCCGCTTGTATTCACTAAAATAGGGGTGATGCTTATATATTGTAATATCATACAAATTGTTCCTTTCCCGATTCCTCTTTATGGACAGGGAAGCCAGACCTATTTATGGAGACACTACCACGTGCTATGTGGCCATTGACTCAGGAAATGCTTCCATCAGGGCCTAATAACACGCGTTTTACTTCACAAAGTCCCTATAACACCTGAGGACTGTGCTTACTTTCCTACTTGTAGTAGGATTTCAGAGGAAGGACATTTTGTGGTCAATTTACTAAAACTAAAGAGTGCAAAAGTTGGTGCATCTCTGCATAAAAACCAATCAGCTTCCATTTTTTTTTGTCAAAGCCTAATTGAACAAGCTGAAGATAGATGTTGATTGGCTACCATGCAGAGCTGCACCAGATTTTGCACTCTCCCGTTTTAGTAAATCAACCCCTTTGTCTCTATTGTTCTATAGACAGGGTGTAAAGGACCCCAGCAACTCACGACTGGGTATCTCCGTCAAGAAGCTGCTTCTCAGGCTCTGGAACACGAGACTAGTGACTATTGATACCCCAAGATCCAGACAACACCATCAATCTCCCCTCCCTGCATTATGACACTGGGTGGGGCAAACTACATTTAGTAACAAGAGACACACAGGTATTCAAACTTCACACCAGCAGACAGACCCATCAGGAGGGAGGACTGCTAGAGACCCCCCGCCCCCACAAAGCTAATACACATAAACACATGCATCCCATAATAGTTTGCTCCCAAGCTAGACACACCATAGAACAATTTGATGCAACCACTTGACATTAAACATTTAACAACCCCCCACACAATATTAGGACAGATCACCCTGTACCCCTAACAGGCACAGGGTGATTTACACATAAGAGGGATATGGGGAGCTGAGACAGGGGTCTCCCCACGTCTCCAAAGTGAGCTGTGTTCCATGGGCCCCCCACCCAAAGTCACTCCCGTCACACAGGGCCCATGACACAGGTGTTTCAGTTGCCCTCAGCTATTCAGAAAATGCTTAATAGGCACCTAATTTGTCTGCAGGGACCATTAGATCGGTGTTTCTCAACCTTCTTTCAGTCAAGGCACCCTTTAAAATTCTGCACAAATCTTGAGGCACCCCATTCTAAAAATGTAAAAAATGAAACAAAGTTTTACATAACACAGCAACCTCCACATGTGTAGGACACCCAATGTTAGAGATGATTTATTCTTCCACAGCAAATACGCCTTTGTGCACAGATACTGACTGGCATTCCAATGCTACTCCTCTGCCTCAGATTATCCCCCTCAGTCAGATAATGTGACCCCAGTGCTGATGGAGAGGGGCATAGTAGGGGATGCTGTGCATACACCAAAACGTCCTCCTTATCAACCGTAATGTCATTGGTTGTTAGGACACCAGCGGCTAGAAGGTTGTAGTAGTGCACAATGAAAACCTGTGGCTTTGCGTCACTAAAAGGTAGCCTGAGCCATCCGCTGGCTTGTGTACAATTTTTGGGCAATTTGTAGGCATTTTCTCCCCAAGGCACCCCTGAACACAACAAACACTTTACTCCTGCGCTAGGAAAGGACTCAGTAGACCCAATAGGAATGTTCTGGAATGTTCTGGAATATGCACTGCTTGCTGCCCTCAACAGACCGGGGTGGTCCGAATACACTGGATACAAATGGAAAAACAGCGCACCGACCTAGTGCATTATCGTTTAAAATAATTTATTAAAGAAACAAAAATAGGCATCATACTCACAATGGACTTAATAACACAGGCATGTCAAACTGAACAAGATGTATGATCCAAACAACATCTGAGTCCATACGATGGAACCCTGGATGACCAACTGGCTAACGCGTTTCGAGGACACAACCTGTTCCTCAGAGCCAACCAAAGGCTCCGTGTCCTCGAAACGCGTTAGAGGTTGGTCATCCAGGGTTCCCATTGTATGGACTCAGATGTTGTTTGGATCATACACCTTGTTCAGTTTGACATGCCTGTGTTATTAAGTCCATTGTGAGTATGATACCTATTTTTGTTTCTTTAATAAATTATTTTAAACGATAATGCACTAGGTCGGTGCGCCCTTTTTCTGTTTCTCCATTTGCATCCCTGAACACACCCTGGTTGAAAAAGGCTGCATTGGGACACCATCATGTAGATAAGTCTAAGAACAAATAAACTGAGCTCACCATCACCTTCTCGATCTCCCTCGCTTTCCCGATCCCCTTCATAGCCAGAGCAAGAAGAATCAAGACTCCAGTCTAAGAAGTCTCCAAGCAGTGCTTCTTCCTGATTGGATAGTTCTGCAGTGGGTGTGGTCACAAAACTATCCCGGTCTTCTTGCAGGCTATCCTCTCTACGTCTGTAAAAAGTAAGATCTTAGTTACCAAACACATATTCTAGGCATGTGTTAGCCAGTATTAGCCCACCCTGTTGATAAATACGGCTCCCTTCATTGTTCAATGAAAATCAGTCCATACCTTTTAGTCTTGTTCCCAGCAGGAGAACACAGAAAGGGATGGCCATCAGGGAGTTTAGGCATTGTTGTAGAGTTTTCAGAATCCTGGATGGAAATCCCGAGCAAAGCACATAACTGGCTGTAGTCCATCACCTGCTGACAACAGCAATCACAATGTTAATTTAGCCAATACTTAATTGCTGCCAAAACAAGCTACCTGCAAGACCAGAGGGATGATCCTGCTCATTGTGTACTGCAGTGATAATAGGTGAGGGGTTCTTTTAACCTCCCTAGCGGTCTGATTATGTCCATATTTCTGTGCTCAAAGCGGTACATTTTTTTGCATAGAAATATGTCTTTTTATTGTAGGCCTGTAATTTTTAGGAATAACTCACTGAAATCTGTCCGAACAAGAGTCTAGTAAACATCCCGGGTATGTTAAAATTTGAAACACGAAATCATAAATTATAATATAATAAATAATCATAAAAAATAAATAATATAATAATAATAAATTTAATTCAATAATGTAATCAAACCAAAAACACTGAAATTTGAAATATAGCGCCAAGTTCGCACATCGCTGAGCAAAGTCGCAAAATCTTTTTCAGTGTCTGATGATGAATTTTCCCCACGAATCATTATCACTCAATTCTGCAAGTGGTTCTAATTTACTATCGCTGTTCTCTAGCCGGTCTAAAACCACTTTTTGACCTAAAGGGACGCTTTTTGGACGCCATGGACATTTCTCAGTTTCCAGGCAGAAAGAACTGTAAAAATGCAGGCAGGGCACAGGACAAAGCACTCGGGACAAAATGTATGTGAAATGGGTTGATACAGGAATGTTATACTATGTGATTTTAGTGTATTTAGTGAATGTCACTTTTAACATTTTCAAATTTCCCGCCGCTCTGTCCCCTGTACGTCCCGACGTCACAGGGAATGGAACCCGGAAGACGGATGCTGGCATTGGCTGGAGGACATTGCCGGGGACACTACCGGAGGGACATCACAGGAGCGCAGGACAAGGTAAGTGAAGAACAGATCCCGAAGCAATGCTGCAGGATATTCCCGAGTGCAGCTCGGGGTTACCGCTTGTGGTGCTGAAACTTTACCCCGAGCTTGATAAACTTGATAAAAAATACTACACTATGGGCACCTGTCTTTTTGGCTCCTATTGGGAGCTAAATCAACTTGCAGGATTCCTGTAGTAGTTTGACCTACCACCACCAGAGGGACGGAGCTTTGGATTCTGGCTGAGCACCATACCATCCTTAAGGGGACCTCCGGACTTCCTATATATTTTCCCAGGCTGATTGACCTACAGATTGAAGTTTACCCTCTTCATCTACTATAAAGATTCCAGTGGATATTAATTATATGCGCATTTTCCATGCGCGTCCGGTGAGTGCGCATTTTTTCCATTGTTTCATCAGCTATCTTTTGGGACTTGCTCATATGAATCAATATATTAATCACGGACCATTTTCTTTTGCACTTTATATATTTTAGCGCTGCACTCTGTTTTACTTGTCATTTTATGGGTACACTGTGATTACCTTTAGTGCTTTAGCTGCTTACCTAGGAGCACTCACTTTATACCATTTTATCTGTTCAAAAATTTCAACACACACACACACACACACACACACACACACACACACACACACACACTTTGTAGACGCTAGAACTTTCATGCAAACTGATGAATATACACTTATTGAGATTTTTTTTTTCTACTGAAGATGTAGCAGATGTGGCCTAAATTTATGAAGAAATTAGATTTTTTTTAAAAAATTTTATTGGATATGTTTTATGGCAGAAAGTAAAAAATATTGTTTGTTTTTTTTCAAAATTTTCATTTATATAAGGAAAATAGAAAAACACAGTGGTGATCAAATACCACCATTTGTGGTATTACAATGATAAATTACAATGATCTATTTGTGTGAAAAACAATGATATATAGTACAGCATTGCATGACTGTGCAACTACCAGTTAAAAGTAGAGTAGTGCAGAATAGCAAAAAAAAAAAAAAATGTCCTGGTCATGAAGGGGGTTACATCTTGCGAAGGTCAAGTGGATAAGCAACAGTTCTGCGAGGACTTTTAATCATAACACCTGTAATTCTTTATTAATCCTGGGTCTCACCTTTTCAGTGCTGATGTGACCATAGAGGTCATTCTGAAACCTCTGTTTCACCGCAGTGAGGGACACTTGCCTGTAGTCTTTAGGTGCATCATCATGGAAGCTATGGGAAATGAGAAACATTTCATTCCGGTATCACCAGTCTAAAGACAATTCTACCAAGCTAGAGATTAGTCACTAGACAGATATATTTACATGGGAAGACAGCCAATAGTGATTCATGCCTTAGTTATCTCAGCCTAGTTGATGTAGTACACTCACCACTTCTTGTGCAGGAGAAGAACGCAAGGGGTGAGATGTTCCAGCGTGAAGCCTGTACTTTCTACCAGCTGGGCAGGCCAAGGAAGGGCTGCAGGAAAGACAGAAGGAGAAAACACCACCATTAGCAAAAGCTAAAATGTGCCTAAAGCAGCTAAAAGCAAAAATAAATACTGAAAAAAAAAAACCTCCCGTTTATCTTGGTGCTCTGTACAGATTAAATGTAGTTCCGCATATATGAAGAAGACAGCATGCTGCACCCAATCCTATATTTCAACATTATTTTTTACCAAAACAATTACATTAGCACAGATTTTTTCAAAAGAGCTTCACCATTTAGGTGTTCCATGGCAGCACGTCAACATACGGCACGGTTGGTACAGTTTGTCATGTGTGTGCTCTTGGTAAAAATATCGGTTAATTACCGTATTTTTTCACTCCATAAGATGCCCTTTTTCCCCCCCAAAAAAGGGGGGAAATGTCAGTGCGTCTCATGGAGCAAATATGGAGCGGCCGGTCCGGTATTTCCACCGCCGCCATGTCAGAATACCGGGCCGGCCACTCAGCTCTGCAGCAGAACCTTACCTGTTCCTTGGTCCAGCGCTGCGCAGTCTTCCCGCGCCGGCTTCTTTAGTGTGGGCTCTGGGCTTGACAGCCGGGTGCCCAGTGCGCATGCGCAAGAAGCGCTGCGCTTTGTCAATGGTACGGCGTCTTCTGGGAACCATGACAGGTCCCAGAAGACGCCGGACCAATCACAAAGCGCAGCGCTTCTTGCGTATACGCACTGGGCACCCGGCTGTCAACCAGGTGCCCACACTAAAGGGAGGACAGCTCCGCGGAAGTGGGAGCGGGTACCTGTCAATTTCAGGTACCTGCTCCCCCTCCCTCCCAAAGGTCTGCATTCTAAGGTCATCCCCTGTACTGTCCGCAGTCTCTGGTCATCCCCTGTACTGTCCGCAGTCTCTGGTCATTTCCTGCACTGTCCGCAGTCTCTGGTCATCCCCTGCACTGTCCGCAGTCTCTGGTCATCCCCGCACTGTCCCCGCAGTCTCTGGTCATCCCCTGCACTCCCCGCAGTCTCTGGTCATTCCCTGCACTGTCCCCGCAGTCTCTGGTCATCTCCTGGTCTGCATCCTGGTCATCTCCTGTACTGTGTCCGCAGTCTCTGGTCATCCCCTGCACTGTGTCCGCAGTCTCTGGTCATCTCCTGTAGTATGTCTGCAGTCTCCGGTCATCTCCTGTACTGTGTCCGCAGTCTCCGGTCATCTCCTGTACTGTGTCCGCAGTCTCTGGTCATCCCCTGTACTGTGTCCGCAGTCTCTGGTCATCTCCTGTACTGTGTCCGCAGTCTCTGGTCATCCCTGTACTGTGTCCGCAGTCTCTGGTCATCCCCTGCACTGTGTCCGCAGTCTCTGGTCATCTCCTGTAGTATGTCTGCAGTCTCCGGTCATCTCCTGTACTGTGTCCGCAGTCTCTGGTCATCCCCTGTACTGTGTCCGCAGTCTCTAGTTATCCCCTGTACTGTGTCCGCAGTCTCTGGTCATCTCTTGTACTATGTCTGCAGTCTCTGGTCATCTGCCGTACTATGTCTGCAGTCCATTGGTTCAGAATATTTTTTGTTCTTGTTTTCTGCCTCTAAAACCTAGGTGAGTCTTATGGAGCAAATAAATACGGTATCTTAATTTACCTGATATAAACATATCTCCTAATGGCACATTTGTCCAATATAAACAAATTTAGAAGATTCCGCTAACATGAAGGGTTTCTAATTATCCAATTGGCATCCATCTTTCCCAACTGGCCCTAAAAACTAAATCACTTTAGTTCCTGGTAGCCCCATCCTCTGCATGGCCCTGGAACTAAAGTGGCCATAGATTGTTTTCTTTTTTTTGTTCAGCCAACCCCCTCCCCCTCAAAAACAGATTCCTCCATCCACACAAGTGGTACTCCTCTGTGTCAAAATACACTGACCATTGGCTGCAGCCACAGATCAAGAAACGTTTTCCAACAGTTCAACAGAAGGCGATCTGGGACGGCCACACATGGATCGAAATTCACCCAGTTCCTGCTGTACTGGCCAAATTTTGATCCATCTATGGCCAGGCCATTCATGTCTCAAATTTTGTCCGTTTCCTGCTGAATCAGCTTCAGTTGGATCTGTCGGTGGATTTGTCAGCACCACCCACTGCAACAAACTGATCTGAAGACTGAATGAGCCAGGTCGGAACTGACGGCTGAACAGTGACTGCAGCCAATCAGATGCAGTCACTGTTGAGGTATTCTGACAGTCACGCTGTCAGAATACAATAGCCTACAGGAGAGATTCAGCCATCTGCAGTGCTTAGCGTGGAATGAGAAAGTTATGCATATATAGCCAGCTTAGTGTACAACAATGCTGACTGATGTGTTCACTGGTCAAAACACTGTCCTTTCCCTTCATCTTAGCCCATTGCAGCCCCATTCACACAGAATGAAGAATAAAAGAGGTTGCCAAGCTGGGCACTGTTTGCTTAGTTTTTGACTGCCACTGCTGTCTGAAAATTAAAACAGCTTCTGTCAATGCTAGAATGGGTCTATGTCCCACCTTCGACCCATTCATTGGTGTGTGCAATTTGATATCCTGCTATTTGGGTGAATATACAATATAGGTTAATTTATTCACAATACTGCAGTAGGTCAGCCTGGGTAGCCTCCCTAGTGGCCTGATTATGTCAGTATTTCTGTGCTCAAAGTGGTACATTTTTTGTCATTTTTTTATAGTAGGCCTGTAATTCTGAGGAATAACTCACTGAAATCTGTCCGAACAAGAGTCTAGTAAACATCCCGGGTAGGATAAAATGTGAAACAGGAAATCATAAATTAGAATTTAATAAATAATCATAAAAAAATAATATAATAATAAATTTAATTCAATAATATAATCAAACCAAAAACACTGAAATTTGAAATAGAGCGCCAAGTTCGCACATCACTGAGCAAAGTCGCAAAATTGTTTTCAGTGTCTGATGACGAATTTCCCCTCAAATCATTATCACTCAATTCTGCAAGTGGTTCTGATTTACTATCGCTGTTCTCTAGCTGATCTAAAACTGCTTTTTGCCTAGGCAATCGGAAGTTATTATTATTTATTATACAGTATTTATAAAGCGCCAATAGTTCGCTCAGCGCTGTACATTACAAAGGGGGACAGAACATGTGACAGAACAATACCAACACCATGCAAAACATGAGGGGATCGAGGGCCCTGCTCTTTCCAGCTTACAATCTAGGAGGGAGGGGATGGTGGCACAGGAGGAGATAGCTGTGGGGGATGGAGTGGTGGTAGGAAGAGTGGAGGAGGTCGCCAAGTTAGCAGGGGGTGGGGTAGGCTTCCCTGAAGAGGTGGGTTTCAGGGTGCGCCTAAAGGAGAGGAGAGTAGGTGATAATCTGATGGGTTTGGGGGCAGGGAGTTCCAGAGGATGGGTGACACCCTGGAGAAGTCCTGGAGGGCATGGGAGGAGGAGACCAGGAAACTAGAGAGAAGGAGGTCTTGTGAGGAGCGGAGTGTGCGTGCTGGGCGGTACTTGGATATTAGGTCAGTGATGTAGTTCGGGGCAGTATGGCGTGGCGGCTTTGTACGTCAGTGTTAGGATTTTGAATTTGATCCGTTGCGCAATCGGAAGCCAGTGGGGATTGGCAGAGGGGGGTGGAGGAAACGGAGCCCAACCCCTCTCACCCCCCCACCTCACCCCCTCAGTCTCTGCCCGAATCACACACCCACTGAGCGACACACCAGACCGGACATCGCTCCACCTCCTCAAAAGTTGTCCTCCCCCTCATCTTCTGGGACACGTGACAGGTCCCAGAAGATTACGGACCATTCACAAAGCGCAGCGCCACTTGCGCATGCACAGTGGGCACCCGCAAGCTGTCACATCCGGGTGCCCACACTGAAGATGCCCACAATGAAGAGAAAGGACAATGGATCAACCCAGCCGGTGTGAAGACACAGTGGGATGGAAGGACAGGTGATTGTCCGTTTTTTAAAAGTCAGCAGCTACAGTTTTTGGAGCTGCTGACTTATGTTTTTTAAATTCCCACTGGACCTCCGCTTTAATATTTTGAACAAAAATAAAAGTTGTATTTAAAAAAAAAAAAAAACTCCACAAAGCCCTTTAAGTTTAATCCTCCTACAAAATTGAAATCTTAAGCAAATGCATTTTTTGGCAAAGTTCCATTACAAGCTGTAGGCTGTTAGCAATGCAAAGCAGCATGTAAACAGAAATCCAGTGACAGTGCAGACCCACCTTGTTTGTGCAGGATCCTGGCTAGCAGCAGGGCGCCAGCAGCAAGCTGAGCCGGAGAATAAACAGAGAGCTCTGTGTAGAGCAGGGAGAGCTCAGAGATGAAGCTACAGAGATGCATTGTGCTCCTGTCCACCGATACAATATGAAACAGAACATCCTTGTAGTCAATTACAGTGGGCACCTATAAAACACAAAAAAGCAAAATTTAGATTACTGGTTTGTTTTTGAATCTGTAACATTTATGGATTTTATAGATATCCAGTCAATAAAAATAAGAAATACCTCATTTATGAGGAATGACTACAAAAATGAAACATTCTCGCAGAAGAAGAGGTGCTTAACAAGAGATATAAGCACAGTATACAAATCTTTACACGGTGACTGTATCTTTGGGAGAAAACAATTTAATCTAAAGTCTCTAAAGAAGACATGCAGCTACACAATGAAGCTGCAGACGAAGCGATTCAATCCCAAATTGTGTAAGGGGTTCTTTACTGTCAGGGCGGTAAGGATGTAGAACTCCCTTCCACAGTTGGTGATGTCAACGGGGAGTGTAGATAAATTCTAAAATCTTTTAGATGTGTTTCTCAGCAAACACATTGTACAGGGATATAGAAACGGGTGGCAACATAAATACACAGACATGCATATAGGTTGAACTAGATGGTCTTCTTTAAACCTTACCTACCTGTAATTGAAAACAGCTATACCTGAAAAAGAAAAGAAGGAATACCTTCCTTTCTCACTGCCAGCATAAACAGTTCCCGATTGCCCTATAGCAGATGTACTGCTACAGGGCGGCAGCTCTGTGCAAAAACACACACACACACACGTTTTGGGGGGGGCATAAGTGCACAGTCCCGGCCCAGCTCCCGTCACAGCAGAAGCCGATTAGTGTGTGCTGGCCAATGGATGACTGCTGGCACACGCTGAACTCCTGGGAGAGAGACAGAACACAACTCTGCCTATGCAAACAAGGCAGAGCTGGGTCCTGTCAGCGGCGATGTGCTGGATTTTGTTTCCCTAAGGAGGGAATAAAATCCAGCACATTGCGGAGTAAAAACACCACACTGTGTACACATAAACACTGGTTAGGCACACAGTTAACCCTTTGCTTGCCCTAGATAAGCGGTTCTCAACCTGTGGGTCGCGACCCCTTTGGGGGTCGAACAACCCTTTCACAGGGGTCACCTAAGACCAAGTAAAAACACATTTCCGACGGTCTGAGGAACCAAGACACCGCTTCTCTATCCGTCTCCAGGCGGGTCCGCCCACATGCAGATACGCCCACATTTCCCTGGACCGCGATGTGTGGGCGGGATGACATGCCGCCCCTGCCATCTGGCCACACCAGCGAGGAGGTGGAGCTTGGAGAGGAGGAGCCAAGCGGCAGCACGAAGATCAAAGAAGATCGAGCAAAGGAGCGGCTGGAGAAGGAAGACAGCTGAACGGTAAGTGTCTGTACCGTGCAGATGGTGCTGCTGCAGCCAGGTATGCTGGCTGTAGATGGGAGAGGGAGGGAGCAAGCCCAGGCTGGAGCAGGAGTCAGCAAGGTAAGTATCATTGGTGTCAGTGGGAGGAATAGTGCCCCATCATTGGTGTCACTAATACCCACTAACACCAGTGAGGGGCACTATTTCCCCCCCACTGATACCAATGATGGGGCACTATTCCTCCCCCCACTGACACCAACGATGGGGCACTATTTCTCCCCCCACTGACACCAACGATGGGGCACTATCCCCCCCCCCACCCACTGAACCAATGATGGGGCACTATTTCTCCCCCCACTGACACCAACGATGGGGCACTATTTCTCCCCCCACTGACACCAACGATGGGGCACTATCCCCCCCCCCCCCACCCACTGACACCAATGATGGGGCACTATTCCCCTACCCACACGGTCATCAATGATGGGGCACTATTCCCCCCCCACTAACACCGATGAAGGGGCACTATTCCTCCCACTGATACCAATGATGGGGCACTATTCCTCCCCCTCCTCTACTGACACCAATGATGGGGCACTATTCCTCCCACACTGACACCCCCCCCCCCTCCTGTCCCCTAGTAAAAACACTCCCAGCACACAGTTAACCCTTGATAGCCCCTCACATTAATCCCTTCCCGCCCAGTGGCATTAGTACAGTGTCAGTGCTGTTTGTTAGCACTGATCACTGTATTGGTGTCACTGGGGATGTCAGTGACACCAAGTTAGTTCCCCCCCCCCCAGTGTCAGAATGCTGGCCACAGCCCCGCTAAAAGTCGCTGATCACTGCCATAACTAGTAGGAAAACAAAAACAAATTCCCAGTATATATATATACCGCCATTTGTAAACACTATAAATTTCACGTAAACCAATTAATTTACACATATTGGGATTTTTTTTTTAGCAAAGACATGTAGTAGAATACATTTTGGCCTAAATTTATGACGAAATTTGATTTTTAAAATTTTTTTTACTGGACATGTTTATTAGCAAAATGTTCAAAATATAGTTTTGTTTCTTAAAATTGTCGTTTTTTTTTTTTTGCTTATAGCACAAAAATAAAAACCGTTTAGGTGATCAAATACTACCGAAAGAAAGCTCAATTTGTGGGAAAATAAGGCTGTAAATTTGATCTAGGTGCGGCATTGCACGACCGCGCACTTGCCAGTCAAAGTAACGCAGCGTCGTAACGCAAAAAATGGCCTGGTCAGGAATGGGGGGGGGGGGGGGGGGAATCCTCTGGTTAAAGAAGATAGCTATATTTTTATGTTACGCTTATCTCCCTGGATCTTTTATAAAAAAAGTTTAATTCATTTATTTTGTAATCTGTTTGGACAATGATCATACCAGGAACTGGCTAAATGGTTAGCACTTCTGCCTGGTAGTACTAGGGTCATTGGCTCAAATCCCAACCATGGCACTACCTACCTGGAGCTCGCATGTTCTCCCTGTGCCTGCGTGGGTTTCCTCCGGGTACTCCGGTTTCCTCCCACACTCCAAAGACATGCTGGTAGGTTAATTGGATCCTGTCTAAATTGGCCCTAGTATGTGTATGTATGAATGTGAGTTAGAGACCTTCGATTGTACGCCCCTTGAGGGTTAGGGACTGATGTGAATGTACTATATATAAAAATATATATATATAAATTATATAAATATATATAAATAAATAAATATATATATATATATATATATATATATATATATATATATATATATATAGAGCGCTGCGTAAATTTGCGGTGCTATATAAGTACCTGTAATAAATAAACTGTATGTTGTAATCTATGGCTTAGTTCCTGCAAAAACAGAAGTTATCTTCCACACCTTACATACAGGGGCCTTCTTATCAGCACTGACAAGGGCAAAGACACTTGAGATTGATAATGGTAATTCCAGGCCTCTACCCTCTGTACACACAAGACTTTTTTATGATTCATTGTATAATAAAAAGTGAACAAGGGTCAGAATGTGCAATAAAAGGAGAGACGTTGGTCAGGAGGAAACTATATTAAACAAGTCATTTAATTTAACATAGTGGATAAAGGAACAGTAAAGCACAAATAGAAATCAATATTGGCCAACCAGAAATTACCCTGCAGCAGAACTAATAGTAAAACTTTCTGATGGAACATAAAAATATCAAAGTATGGCTGAGGTGGTGAGGAAAAAGACAAAAGACAGCGCTCAAAAATTAAAAAAAAAATCCTCTAAGCATTTTTTTTTTTTTTTAAACATAAGGATTTGCTGCAATAATATATTCAATCAGTAGGTGCTGCTGTTCCAGAGTGAAGGCAATTTTTCTGTGTTGTATTCAAGGTCATAACTTGTTTCCATGCACGCAGTATTTGAAGTGAACATGTGTTCTTTTACATTCACTGCCATGTAACAGGTTCACTTGTGGCCAGTTATGCTCTACTGCACAGGTATCAAACTGGTGGCCCTCCAGCTGTTGCCAAACTACAAGTCCCATGAGGCATTGCAAGATTGACAGTTACAAGCATGACTCCCAAAGGCAGAGGCATGATGGGACTTGTAGTCTTGCAACAGCTGGAGGGCTGACAGTTTGACACCCCTGCTCTACTTCTACTAGCCTTTCCAACACCCATTTGGCAGCTCAGTCAACCACCAATAGCCAAGTGAAGTGCCTAATATTTCTAGGAAGACATAACACTCCCACCTTTATTTCAGGTACTTATATAGCGTCGACAATTTACGCAGAGCTTTACATATATATATTGCATTCACATCAGTCCCTAACCCTCAGAAGGTGTACAATTTAAGGTCCCTAACTCCCATCATACATACACATACAAGGACCAATTTAGACAGGATCCAATTAGCCTATCAGCATGTCTTTGGAGTGTGGGAGGAAACTGGAGTACCCGGAGGAAATCCACACAGGCACAGGGAGAACATGCAAATGCCAGGCAGGTGGTGCCGTGGTTGGGGTTTGAACCAATGACCCTAGTGCTGCCAGGCGGAAGTGCTAACCATTTAGCCACTGTGCTGCCCCTTCTCCCATGATGCAACTCCAGGTGGTCAATCGCCAGATCTGAGCACGTTTACTTGGGAGATTAGAGCAAGCCATAGATGATTCTCTTCTGCAAACACGGACTGTGTTGATAGGGTAAATCCCTCCCACAACGCTACTGTGGCTGCTGACAGGGAGCCTTCTCCACTGGCAGAACGCAATGATTACTGCTGGCGACTAAAACCACTGGCAGTAACCGCATGCAAAAAATATGACAGGTTGGTTGTACTGAAGTCAATCGAAAGATGGGCAGTACAGTGGCTCAATGGTTAGCACTCCCACCTGGTAGTACTAGGGTCGCTGGCTCGAATTCTAACCACGGCACCACCTGCCTGGAGTTTGCATGTTCTCCCTGTGCTTGCGTGGGTTTCCTCCGGGTACTCCGGTTTCCTTCCACACTCCAAAGACATGCTGGTAGGTTAATTGGCTCCTGTCTAAATTGTCCCTAGTATGTGTATGTATGAATTATGAGTTAGGGACCTTAGATTGTACACCCCTTGAGGGTTAAGGACTGATGTGAATGTACAATATATATTTGTAAAATGCTGCGTAAATTGATGGCGCTATATAAGTACCTGAAATAATAGATCTACTTCAGTGCAACCAGCCTACCCATACATGGACTAAATTCCGGCAGGTCCCTGCTGAACCGGTTGAGATTCAATCCATCTAACTCTACTGCACGCTGGACAGACTGCAAGCAAACACCCTGGGAAACATCTCTTACAAGTCTGAGTGCCACTCCGCGTAACTTTTTAATATGTCCCCTCTACTCCTCCTTTTCATATTACATTCTTGTGTTCCCAAAATCTCATTTCTTTACCCCTCTGCTCCACCCCAAAACTTGTACATCTCACCCTCACTGCTACCATCTCCCTACTACTGCTCTCATCACTTCCTGCTGATACTTCACTCTCCTGCTGACCCAAACACCAGGACTGGAAGGCATGTGCGCTCGTGTAGATCCCGCTCCCATCTTACTTTCCTCACACTTCTTCTCCTAACCTCTGGGGATATCTCCCCAAACCCTGGTCCTTCACAACCTCACTCACCCACTAAGCACCCTCCTACCCTCACGAACCACCGCAACCCCCTCAACCTTATACCTGTCCCCCTCCTCCCCGCATCCATCCCTCCACTCTCGATTGCACTCCTGAACGCCCGATTGGTTTGCAACAAGCTCACCACCATCCATGACCTCTATCTCCCACTCCCTCAACCTCCTAGCGGTCACCGAAACCTGGACCCAAGCCACTGACTCCGCCTCCCCTGCGGCACTCTCCTATGGATGTCTCGTCTGGTCCCATTCATCCAGACCGAGCGGTCGTAGAGGTGGTGGGGTCGGTGTGCTCTTGTCACCGCTGAGCACCTTCCAGGTCCTCCCAAAACCCCCCCCTCTATCCTTCTCCTCCTTCGAGGCCCACTGCATCCGACTCTTCTCTCCCACCCCTTTGAGGATTGCAGTAATCTATCGGCCTCCTGGACTCGTATCCCGCTTCCTTGACGACTTTTCTGCCTGGCTGCCCTTCTTCCTCTCCTCTGAGCTACCCACCATCATCCTTGGAGACTTCAATATCCCTATCAATGTCAACAACCTGGCTACATCCCAACTCCTCCACTTAACCTCTTCTTTTGCACTCACACAGTCCTCCACCCACACCGAATGGGAACACCCTGGACCTCGTTTTCTCCCATCTCTGCACCCTCCACAACCTCACTAACACCCCTTTCCCTCTCTCTGACCACAACCTCATTACGTTCTCTGTCTCCCCGTCCTAGAACGCCTCCCCGCCAAACATCAAATCATCACCAGCCGTAACCTCCGCAACCTGAACCCGGCCCCTCTCCACTCTGCAGTTGACTGTCTGTACAACAGTATCCTTCCACTGTCATGCCCTGACCTGGCCACTACTGTGTATAACGACTCCCTGTCAGCTGCCTTAGACTCCTTAGCACCCCTAACCACACGTAGCATTAGATCCCGACCGCTTCAACCCTGGCAGAACGACTACACTAAAAATCTTAAACGATGCAGTCGTGTGCTGGAGCGATTATGGCGCAAAACCAGATCCCCTCGAGCGTTCTCCCTCTACAAATCCGCCTTCCTCACCTACTCCTCCTTCCTCCACGCCGCCAAACAAGCCTACTTCGTAACCCTCATCAACACCCTTTCCACCTGTCCTCGCTGGCTCTCTCTCCACTTTTAACTCCCTACTCTCTCCCCCCCACCTCCACTCAGTACCTCACTCACTGCCCACGAGATTGCCAACCACTTCCATAACAAGATCGACGCAATCCGTAAGGACATCGCCAACGCTCAACCTACCTCCCCACCTAGCCTCCCTCCCATCATAACCTCACCAACTCTCCCCTCCTCTGACCTCTCAACCGCCCTACCCCCCACCACACCTAACGTCCCGCACACTATAACCTCCCCAACACTCCGCTCCTTCAGCCTTGCTACCACTGAGGAGGTCACTAAGGTCTTCTCAGAAGCCCGCCTCACCACTTGCCCCCTTGACCCTGTCCCCACACAACTCCTCCGGTCACCCTCCTCCATCCTACGCTCCCTCACCCACATCTTCAATCTCTCCATCTCTACTGGCGCATTCCCCTCCCCCCTAAAGCACATGCACATCACCCCCATACTCAAAAAACCCTCCCTGGACCCCACCGACCTAAACGACCTTAGACCCATCTCCCTGCTGCCATTTACTTCCAAGCCCCTTGAGCACTTAGTCTACAATCGCCTAAGCGCCCACCTCAATGACAACAACCTCCTCGATCCACTATAGTCTGGCTTCCGTCCCCTACACTCCATCGAAAACCGCCCTACTCAAAATCACTAATGACCTGCTAACCGCCAAAGCTAATGGCCACTACTCAGTCCTCTTACTCCTCGACCTTTTCCGCGGCCTTCGACACAGTCGACCACCCCCTCCTCCTTAACAAACTACACTCCCTCGGCATCAGAGACTCCGCTCTCTCCTATCTATCCCAACGCTCCTTCAGCGTTACCTATAACGCTACCACCTCCCCTCTCTCTCCCCCTCTTTGTTGGGGTCCCCCAAGGCTCGGTCCTCGGGCCCCTTCTCTTCTCCATCTACACCACCTCCCTCGGCAAACTGATACACTCCCACGGCTTTAACTATCACCTCTACGCCGATGACACGCAAATTTACCTCTCCACCGCTCGCCTCACCCCTTCAGTCTCTGCCCGTATCACCCACCTACTGAACGACAGACTGGATGTCGCTCCATTTCCTCAAATTGAACCTTTCCAAAACCAAGCTCCTGATTTTCCCCCCAGCCCGTGACCCCCCCCCTCTCCATCACAACCAACAATGCCACCATCAGTCCCAGCCCGCAAGCCAAAGTCCTAGGTGTCACTGTAGACTCAAACCTGTCCTTCCAACCCCATATCCAATCGTTGGCAAACTCATGCAGGCTCCACCTCCGCAACATCTCCAAAATATGTACATTCCTAACCCCAGACACTACTAAACAACTCGTTCTCTCCCTTATTATCTCACGTCTGGACTACTGCAACTCCCTTCTCACCGGCCTACCTCAACACAGACTATCCCCGCTTCAGTCTATCCTGAACTCAGCGGCCAGACTCATCCACCTTACCAACCGCTCCGCTTCTGCCACCCCCCTCTGTCATTCCCTCCACTGGCTCCTGATTGCCCAATGCATTAAATTCAAACTACTAACACAGACATACAAAGCCATTCATAACGCTGCCCCAAACTACCTCACCGACCTGATACCCAAATACCACCCAACCCGTAATCTTCGCTCCTCAGAAGACCTCCTACTTTCTAGATCCCTGGTCTCCACCTCCCACGCCCGACTGCAGGACTTCCCCCATCCTCTGGAACTTACTACCCCAATCCATCAGACTGTCACCTACCCTCCTCACCTTTAGGCGCACCCTGAAAACCCATCTCTAAAGGGAAGCCTACCCCACCCCCACCCTCACCTAACAGCCGATCTCCTCCACTCCTCCTACCACTCCAGCCACTTCCTCCTGTACCACTATCCCCCCCCCCCTCCTAGATTGTAAGCTCGAAAGAGCAGGGCCCTTGAACCCCTTGTGTATTGTATTGTTACTGTATGGTCTCATGTTTTGTCCCCCACTATAATATACAGCGCTGAGCAAACCTTTTAGCGCTATATAAATACTGTATAATAATAATAATGATCTATGGCTAGCTGTAACCTTATGTAAGTTGTGAATGGGATGGCAGAGAGCACCTACCCTAATCTTTCCCTCCAGCGCAGAGATGATCTCTCCCATCATTCGTACCAGGTCCTCATATTTATAAGTGTTATCAGTCAGCCATACAGCTTCTCGGATGGTCAGAATCTCTTTACTAATAAACCTGTGAAATAATTGGAATATTGTCAATTCTGTTTTAGATAAGTTATCTTACAGTAGTAGAAGTATCTGCCAGCTAATTGGCAAGGCAGAAAAGACGCCAAACACTCACCGCGTACAGATTACCATACAGGCGATGCCCACTAGCTGAAGCCGTGCTCGGGGTACGCTACGCAGCTTCAAGTACCGATCTACTAACCCTACAGTCATATGTAGACACAGACTAGAGAAATCTTTCATGGTTGCCACTTCTACCAGCCAGTCTATAAGGATATACCTGAAGGAGATAGAGGCGGCAGTCAAAAAAACAGGCATATAGGAGCAACCACGGTCTTTAAATCCAAACAACTTTTATTGCCAAGACAATGAAAAAAAAAATAATGGAACAGTGCTTATAGAATCTACAATGATATTACTGTATCAACAGGGATTATACATAACTCCAAAGACATGTTGGTGGGTGAATTGGCTTCTATCTTAATTGTCCCTAGTATGTGTATGTATGAATGTGAGTTAGGGACCTTAGATTGTACACCCCTTGAGGGTTAGGGACTGATGTGAATGTACAATACATATATGTAAAGCGCTGCGAAAATTGATGGCTCTCTATAAGTACCTGTAATAAATAAAATAAATAAATAGATCAATATGTATACGCAGATCCCGTAATAGAAGCAACCATGTCTTTAATGAAAACGAATACTTGGCGAACGCAAGTTCAACAACTCGGAAAATTATTATTATTTCAATACAGCACAAGCCTAAAGTAAAGCACGTGCAAGCATGTGCAAAGGGAAAATGTGATGAGAAGGTGGAAATCTGCTGTGTTTTATACAGAACCACTCTTTATATGTGCGTTCTCTTTGCTTGACTGATTTTGGACAAGCCTAGGCAGCACATGGATTTAAATGGATGCCAGAAATGTTTTTCTGTGTTATAATTGACTATGCAGAGAGGCCTGTTTTTGGAGATACCCGAAGATTCAAATAAAACATTTTCATATAATAGTAGAAGTACTTTGGATAAAAGAAGGAAAAAAATATTGTTAAACCAGAACATCAGCCACCATTATGGCACATGTGCAAATAGGCTATGTCTGACCCTCCGTTGGCACATCTGCGCATGTGTAGGTGATTTTCTGTGCTCGTGCAAAGACAGGGAAGGTTTTGTACTTTCTGGTGGCAGCATTTGCGTATACACACATACACACTGCATGTAGAAATGCGTTATTACAAAATATGAAGAGTATTTTTAAAAATACATTTCAAATATACTGTATGTTTATATATGTTAAAATTACTTTTTTATATGTAAAAAAAAAAAAAAAAAAAATTGAATATATTTTAAAAATATGTATTTTACAAATATCTATTTTTTAAATATATTCTTCAGATTTTTTTTTTAACATATACAAAATTCCTTTTAACATATATTTTTACATTAAATGCATTCCAAAAATGTAGATTTGTATTTTTAAAGACATACGGTATATTTGAAATGTATTTTTAAAAATATTTTTCATATATTTTGTAATAAAAATGCATTTCAACACGTAGTGTATGTATATATATATATATATATATATATATATATATATATATATATATATATATATATATATATATATATATATATGTATGTATGTATGTATGTATCAAGAAATTTTTATATATTCTCCCCAACCCCCCTAAAGATTGCTGTGATATACCGGCCTCCTGGATCCATACCCCGCTTCCTGGAAGACTTCTCCTCCTGGCTGCCCTTCTTCCTCTCCTCTGAGCTACCCACTATCATCCTTGGGGATTTCAACATCCCTGTCAACCTCGACAATCCGGACACAGCCCGTCTCCTCCACTTAACCTCCTCCTTTGCACTTGCACAGTGCATACAATCCACCACCCACTCCGACGGTAATATCCTTGATCTTGTCTTCTCCAACCGCTGCGCTCCCCACAACCTCACTAACACCCCCTTCCCTCTCTCTGACCACAACCTGATTACCTTCTCTATCTCCTCATCCTCCAATGCCTACCCCTCCAAATGTCACACTACTACCAGCCGTAACCTCCGCAACCTTAACCCTGCCTCCCTCCACTCCGCAGTTGATCAACTCCATGACCGCATCCTCCCCCTGTCCTGCCCCGACTTGGCTATGACCCTACAACAATGCGTTGTCAACAGCCCTTGACTCACTAGCGCCTTTAACCACACGCAACATCAGACCCCGACCGCTCCAGCCCTGGCAGACTGATCACACCAAAACCCTCAAACGACACAGTCGTGCCCTGGAGCGACTATGGCGCAAAACCAAATCCCAACAAGCCTTCACCCGATACAAATCTGCCTTCCACACCTACACCTCCTCCCTCCATACTGCCAAACAAGCCTACTTCCTGACCCTCATCAAGGCCCTCTCCTCCAATCCTCGCCGACTCTTCTCCACCTTCAACTCTCTACTCTCGCCACCCCCACCTCCACCCAGCACCTCACTCACTGCCCTTGAGATTGCCAATCACTTCAAAAACAAGATTGACACAATTCGCAAGGACATTGCCGCAACTCACACGCCTTCTCAACCCGTCCCCTCTCACACAGCTACCCCCTTATCCCCCCTCCCCCTCGACATAACCCACAGGGACTTCGTCGCTGCTCAAACTCCCTCCAACCCCCTTCCCCCTCACTCAGCTACCCCCTCTACACCCCTCTCCCACGGCCCCACCACTGCTCTTACCTCCTCTCCCACCCCACCCTACATTCCTCATACTGAAGCTCCCCCAACACTCCGCACCTTTGACCTTACTACCATCGAAGAAGTCTCCCAGATCCTCTCTGATGCCCGCCTCACCACCTGCCCCCTTGACCCTATCCCCTCACAACTCCTACAACCTCCCTCCCCCTCCATCCTACGCTCCCTCACCCAC